AACATTGGGGGGGGGGGCCCCCCCCCCCCCCCCCCACTTTCCTTCGGCATTTTTTGGGTGGAAGGACCGTGATCAACCAGGCCAACGGGGGGTTACAGGAGCCCCTTTCCCGGGAGCCCCCAGCCCGGGGGGAAAAGTGGGTGATTGCCGATTTCATGAAGGAGATTTGGAAGGAGAAGGGGCGGGCGGGAAGGTCGATAATTTGCATCATGTAGATGGGCCGGGCCTTTCCCGGGGACGGGCTCCCTGGGGGGACCGGGGTTTCCGATGCCCCATTTGTGTGCCCCCGTTTTTCCCGGTCAGGACGATTTACCTTCCCAGGTACGCCCACTTTTCATGTTATGTTTGGACCCCCCAATATAGCCCCCCCCCCCCCAATCACATGCAACCGCCCATGCACACGTATGCATAGCACCCCGGTCTTTTCCCCTCAACCAGACTGGTACCGACCGATGCGCGAATCTAGCGATACTGCACCTCATTTCGCCCAGGTTCGAGAAGTCCGCCTCGGTGGAGCGTTCAAGTCTGTTTACCCCCCCGGGGTCCGCCCATCCTGTTGGGTTCCTAAACCCGTAACGTGTATGCTACCAACGTACTTAGTTGCGGTAAATTTGATTTGAATGCACCACCATCTTGTGAAGAACCCGGCAATTTGATCAAATGCACCAACCAGCTTGTGAAGAACCCGGCAATTTGATTTAGTGCACCAGCCAGCTTACAATGAAATCTGAAATTTGATTTCATGCACAAACCAGCTTGTAAAGAACCCGGCAATTTGATTTAACGCACCAACCAGCTTGTAAAGAACCCGGCAATTTGTTTTTATTGCACCAACCAGCTTGTAAAAGAACCCGGCAATAATGTGATCAAATGCACCAACCAGCTTGTGAAGAACCCGGACCTGGACCCGGCCCCGGTGAACCTCACGGGGCTGCGGAAGGCCGGCCTCGCCCGGGCCTGCGAGCTGACGGGGGTCGCCGACCCTACCCCGGTGGTGGAGTCGTGCTTCGAGGTCTGGCGGCGGGCGAGGCACGACGTGGAGCGCCACCTCTTCCCGGGGGTGTTGGACACCTTGAAGGAGCTGAAGGAACGGGGAGTGAGGTGCGTGGCTGCTGGCTACGTTTTTACTTTTGCCTGTGAGAAAAGAAGATGCCCGCAGTTTTCTGATTTTGGGCCATTTTTTATAGGGGAATGCTCCGAAGAATGACGAGGTCGAGAGAGAGAAAAGGTGCCCCCCGCAGTTCTGTGCGCGCGGAGTCACTCCCTTTTGTCCTGCTGTGTTTGTTTGTTCTTTTTTGACGTGGTGGTGGGGGGGGGGGGGGCGGGTGTACTCATAGTCGTGCATGCCGTAGTCGTTTGACCATTGACCTCGCATCCCTACAAAGCCGGGACGGAGCACGCCGGGTTCTCACCGGACCAGGCTCTCACATCACCAAGCGCGAAGCGCCGTGAGGTATTTGGCGAGTCGCATGAAGGGTGAGCTGCATCCTGCTAAGGGTTTTCGGCATCTTGTGCTTACTTCCTTGCGTACGGATGACAGCTACGTATGACTTAATTTATTTTCTGGTGCTTTCACTTCCAGAGACAGTTGTAAGCACTGTATAACTGCCTCGAGGAAGCTTGACCATGTTAACACAACGTGGTGCGATCATCCCCCGTTGCGCGGAGTGAGGTTTCTCGACCCCGCACAACATGATTTACTCGACCACCATTATGGTTACCGCCAAAAAAAAAAACGAGGTAAAAAAAAAAAAAACGGTAACCTGGTTGCCGAGTTCACGAAGTGAATTGGCTTGTTTTACAACGTCGTTGCCAAGCGACGAAAACCCAAACCCCGATGGCAAACACCGTGGTGGGGGGGGGTGGAGAAAAAGTGATCTCGCGGCGCGGAAACAGCGCGAGTATATGGCGCCGGTTGGCTGTTCGCTTGCTACGCTCGTATCGCTGTACAAACGTTGTGTTTTGTTTTGTTTTGGTTGCGGTTTGTGTATGCCATGGTTTGGCGAATGTCACCTTCTCCGCCACGCTCCTGCCTTACCGTAGAGCCTGAAAATGCCCGTGAGTCACACCCTGATGGATCTCTGTGACCACGGAAGGCAACCGCGTCAGTGGATCCGGTACGGACGTTAGAAGGTACTGAGCAGAGACCGGAACTTTTTTTTTATGTGAAGACGAGAACAACGACCGCAGGCAGCAGTGGAAGATGAAAATAAATGACCCTGAAGTTTTTCTACCACCTGGGTGTCGCTTACCTCGCATCTCTCGCCCCAAAACACGAGAGCACAAGATACGCATGTAGTCCGTAGCCTCAAGGATTATGAACCCGAAGAAGAGAACACCTATGACAACGACATCATCATCATCATCAACAACAACAACAACATATCTGGAAATGTGCGTCAGGTTGGTGGCCATCACGAACGGAAACGCTCAGACGGACGACATCCCGTGCCTCAAGGACCTGTTCGAGTTCTGCGTCCTTGCCGAACAGGTGCGTCATTTGCTGCGCCTAGGCAGTGCAAGGTTGTGTGGTCTTAAGCGCCGCGCCTGGCGTGTGGTTGTACCTTATTTGGCCGCTCTCCGCTCAGGGTGTCGTCTTCGAGAGGAACCTGTACCTTTTGCCGCTCGAGTCCTTATTTGCAAGCCGGAGGGACAGACGCGTGGGTGTGTTGGTGTGCTTGTTTTTGTTTTGTTTTTTCCTCTGCGAGCTCTATTAAAATGGTTGTTTGCTTGTTTGTCGGTTGGATTTCTGTCGCTTGGTTTGGTGCGTGACAACTATGTATTGAGTATTGAGTGTTCTGGCGGGTTGTCGTTGTTGTTGTTGTTGTTGTTGCTGTTTCTGTTATGCATAGTGCCGCGGTCGTTTTCATCGCCCTTCTTCCCAGGCGTGTGCACCAGTAGCGACGTGCAATGGCTGTGATTGTGTTGCCTGTCCACTCGAAACAAGCACGCACGGGCTAATCGGAACCTTTGGCATCCTTTCTCCCTCCGCGATTGTCTTCATCGCTCAACGTGAGGGCCCTTCCACCCTCACAACGTAGTTTTTCGACGTTGCGCTCGTGTTTTTAGCGGCCCCTTTCCTTGAGAAAGGCATGCCATCACCGTGGTTGTCGTTGCCATCATTGTTGTTGTTGTTCCTGCACACGCGTGAAGACACGTTGAACACGAAAGCAAGTGCTTTCCGAGATGATTGTCTTCCAACCCGTGCGCATCAGCCCTTGCCACCACAAGCTTCCAATGCGCCCCCCAAAGGGTGCTGCTTCCAAGCACCACGCCCGCACCCACAGGCAGCACAGCGCATGTTAAACAACGGCTAAGCTATAATAACGGAGGAGGTCGAAAAATTTCTACTTTTTCTCCCGTCTGTGCTCTACGGTGTGGATGGACGACTACGGGTCGTGTGCAATCGACAAAACAATTTCTACGAAATTTCTTTGAAAATCCCAGGTGGGAGAGCGCAAGCCTCAGCCGGGACCTTTCCGAGCGGCCGTGAAGAGGGCGGGTTATCCCTCCGAGTTTGCCGTGGGAGGGGAGTGGGTGCACGTCGGGGACGATTGGGCGTCGGATTGCGTGGGTGGCAAGGTAATAAGGGACCGCAGACAGCGTTGTGTTAACCCCCCCCTGCGCGCGCGCCTGCGTGTGGCAGCGTGGAGGGGGCCGATCCCGTGTTGATGTAAGCCGTTCAACAGGGCGCGGTGTGCAATGATGACTCGACGGTGTGAATGAACCATTCACAGCTCTTTTTGGGTTGCGTTTTTAACAACTAGTCGGCGTGGCGTTTAGCTGTGGGATGCATGGCCGGGGGCAGGTGGACATCAGAAATACCCCCTGCCCCCCCCGACGCCAGGTCCGGTGAGAACCCGGCGTGCTCCGTCCCGGCTCTGTTGTAGGGATGCGAGGCCAATGGTCTAACGACTACGGCATGCACGACTATGAGTACACCCTCCCCCCCCACCGACGCGCCTGTAGCAGAAAAACCAACAAGAATGGCGTTGGAGACACCAGCTTTGACGCTGCTCCTTATGCACAGGGCGCTTCTTTTAGACTAACCAACCTCTTTCGCGCACGCCATGCGCGTTGTTTCTGTTGCTCACACGCCCTCCGCCGTTATCATCAAACCAACAGAAAATGCGCATGAGGACCGTTTTGGTACGGGTGCCAGGAAAGCCCGCGGTGGGGTCAGGTCCCGATGTGAGTGTCATATATATTTTTATTCCTCGACACAGGTCAATCGAACGGTTAGTTCAGCGCACGGGCAGGGGGTATGCTAAGGGTCGCGGAGTTGGGGGTGGGGCACGTGTGAGGGTCAAAGGCAGACATGTGTTTGGTAGTTCAAGTACAGGAAGGTGGGCTCGGCGTAGTCCACCTCATAGGGTGTGCGAGTTTGCGCCCTGCGCTTGTGTTTTCTACACATGATACGACGCTGGTACGTGGGCTGGAAGCACCTACAGCGAGCTCGTGGGGCCCTACGCTCTGTGATCCTGCGTCCGAGCTTCTCGGCGTTGTGAGAAGGTGTGCTGGAGCAGACACCAGAGCCGGGCCTCCGAACATCGAGGGCACGTGAACGTCGTCTATAACCTCCTCGCAGGTTATCACATGCCCGCAGTTGTTTTTTGCGCGTTGGCTTTGAACGTACAAGAATTTATTTAAATATACTCCCTCCCCCCATTCTGGTGGTTAACAGTACCCCCGCCCTCCCGCCGCTCTCCAATATCGACGCTACTGCCATTTTTTTTTTACGCCTGGTTGGTTGGGGGATTTCGCGCTATTCGGGGATGATTTCTTCGTTCCGCAGGAGGCGGAGGAGGAAAAGGACGTGGACGGGGAAGAGGAGGAGGAGGAGGAGGGCAATACACTCGACGGCTTGGATATCGACGATCTCGACGACGACGACGATTTCCCCACCCTTGAGGACGGAACCATAGCGGTAAGCAGGCTGGCTTGAGTGTTGCGCGTTTGTCGTGGCTTGCTGTGTAGGGCTTGTCGTCAGAGCTTTCATAGGGCACACATTATCATCGTGTTTGCTTCGTGCGGCAATCTTTGACGGAGCTACATAGCCCTCGGGCATGAGGGATCACGGGTGGGTGAGGTTGGTAGTGGGTGTTTGTGTCTTGGTATCCTCATTTCCTTCCTCAAGCCGGGCGGTTGAAAAGTCAGACCGGTGCACGAGATGTGCAAGCCTTCCACACATGCACCACACATGCAGTTCTTTATTTTTTCGTCGCCTCCCGGCATTCGCTTAACACTATCCTTTAACAGTTTCCGTTCGCAATCTCTTCTGCGCTATGTACCCCCCCTAACCCCCTGCTTAGCGCTTGGTGATGTGAGAGCCTGGTCCGGTGAGAACCCGGCGTGCTCCGTCCCGGCTTTGTAGGGATGCGAGGTCAATGGTCTAACGACTACGGCATGCACGACTATGAGTACACCCCCCCCTGCCTTTCACAACCCCCCCGACCCTAATCCTGCGTAGCATGTACGCGAACCTCACGAATGTTCCACAAACCCGTGCTCTTCCCTGCCCCTACGCGATTAATCCCACGCCTAGCCCGATGAAAGCCCTGAAGGCAAGGCCCAGCGGCTGCGGCGAGAGCAAGAGAAGGCAAGGAGGAGGGCCGAGAAGCTGGGGATTCTGCTGGACAGCGACTTCGATATGGCCGCGGGGACCGCGGCGGCGAACAGCGGCGACGGGAAAACCGTGAAGTCTTCCACGTCTTCTGGTGCTGGGGACGCCGCTTTTTCTTCTCCTCGCGAAGAGGAGGAAGAGAGAAATAGGGAACAAAGGAGGAAGGAAGAGGAGGAGGAGAAGAAGGCGAGGGAGGAGCTGAAGAACAGAAAGCTGTACGCCCGGGAGATGTCCGCGATCGCGATGGGGCACCCAGAGGTCGCACAGGGGCCCGGGAAGATGATGAGCATGGGGAGCTCATCGTACGTGATGGACATGGTGAGACGACAGCAGTAGTATGGCCGACTCTCCTTGGTTGTTTCCTCCGCTGTGTGTGTCATGTGTTGTCATTTTGCGCGACGCGTGTGCGTACCGTAGGCGGCATATGACGTTAGACATCACACGCCCCCCGGATCGATTTTCAAAGCTCGATGACTCCGCAGCAAAAACGGCGACGGTGCCGGAAAATTGGCGGCGTTGGAACCGTCTTGTCGATAGATTTTTCCGAAAAGTTACACATGGCTTGATTTTGGGCATCCGGTTTTGTCGTGGAGCCAATCGAGCTTTGAAATTCGGGCCGGGGGGGGGTGTGGTGTCTTGCGCGACCTGCGCTAGTCTGATGGATGGATGTGCCGAGAGACTGTATACCCGCCCGACTCCTCACACTGCTGCCGAGCGGCGTTTGGCGTTTTGTAGCTCTCCGTTGGAAGGGGGGCGGAACGGGGTTTCCAGGTTTGCCCCAACGCTTAGTCATTTCGATTATCCGAGCCGGCTGCTCGTCATACTGCTGTGTACACGATCAGAAAAGGACCGGAATTTTAGAACGTCAATTTTCAGCACAAACAATTTTTTTGTGTCGAGGCTCAGTTTATTATTTTGCCGCCCACCCTCGAGCATAAACTTCCCTGGGAATCCACTGCTGTTGAGGTGGCTGTGTCTCTTTTCTTGTTCTTCGTGCAAAAAATGAGCCTCTATGTTCTAGAGTACCAGCAATTCTTCACTGCGGAGGCCTGTTGTGTATGCGTACCACCTAGTCTACGATCAACTGCATCGTCCGACGGAGGTACACTGCCCTTTGGGAGCGACCGAAAGTGTTGATTCTGTCGAGGTTGCCAACCCCCTCTTCTCTTTTTTCTGTGCGCAGGTGTGCGAAGTAACGCTCTCAGGGTGTGCGTAAACCTTATCTATACTGCCGAATGGGGCAGAATCGCACTGCTCTCTTGTGCGTTGACGTATTGTTAGTGTACTAGCGCCTGGCCGTCTCGGCCTCGTGTGTGTGTGTGTTTGACGTGCATCTACTCGGTCGGTGCGAGGCACTCGAATATATACGTGCATCGAATATGTACATGCGTCGATTCGGCGAGTCCTGCTTGACGTGTTGTGTCTTTTTTCGTGTCTTCGGTTTTCTACGAAGATGGTGTCTGCCGTCAGTATATGGCGGCCAGGCCTTATATACCAACTTAGGGAGGGCCGTGAAACTGACAGTAGACGCTATCTTCGCGGAAGCCCGAATATTCTGAAAAAAAGAGACAGCAAATAAAGCAGAACTCGCCGAATCGATGTATGTGTACCCGTAAGGATGCAGGTCTGTGTCTGTCCGCTGGGTTGTTGACGTTTATCCAAAGCTTCATTGCTCGACAAGTGGGAGAGTACCGCTGCGGAAAGGCTGTTTTTGGAATTTTCTCGTCGGGATCTTTCCTTACACGTGTAGTTAGGCTCTCGCACCCTCCTACGAGTTGTCGAGCAACGAAGCTTTCGAAAAACGCCAACACCCCTGCGCGGGGACCCAACCGCATCCTCATGGTGTATTCGTCCAAGAGTACTCTAACACGCACCGAGTAGATGTACGCATGCCCGCGAAACACCCAGTGACTGACCCCACGTCGACGACCCTTTTCCTTCCGCCCTGCTCCGGACCCAACACTCGCCGCCGTTGACGACACAACGGGAACCGGCTGGTGTGCTTCTTCTTTTTTTTTATCACCAACGTGGGCGTGCGCTCGAACCACCCCAGCTCATGAACGATTTCATGGACGCGTCGCTCGACAACATCGCGGATCTGGTCGGGCTCGTCGACCAGTGGAACAACAAGATTCCCGCGCCTGGCCCGGACGGGCAGGATGATGCTGCCGCGGCGGCGGCGGTGGCTGCGATCGAAGCAAGGCGCGGTGGCGGTAGTGCTGGGGGAAGGGGATCTCCTGCAAGTAAAGGCAGCACCAGAAGAAGCGGAGGCGAGAAGTTCTGCACCGAGTGCGGCGCCAAGATACCCGCGTCGGCCAAATTTTGCTCGGAGTGCGGGGCAAAGCAAGAAGAAACCTTCCCCGCGGCCTGAGAATGGCACGCGGTCCAGAGGGAGAGAGAGAGAGAGAGAGTAGTTGCATTCTTGTTGTTTTACAGTGTTTTTGTGGACATTTTTATGGCTCTGTGCATCGTTTGTACCCGCCCCATTCCCTCTTTCTCATGTGTGATATAGGTTCGACGGGACGGAAAGTCCCGGCAAGTAGATGGTTTCGATTGGTTGATGGGACATGGAGGCGTTTTGCGTGTAAAACAACACGGCATTGGTACGAACCCACCGGCCTCTAGATCGTGCGTCGCGACAAGAGAGTTCAGGTTGCCGCACACGTGCGTACACGACGCTTGTTCTGTCTTGAAAGCCTGTTTCATGGTGTCGGTCTCAGTTTCGGCCATGGCATGTCGTGACACCACCTCCACCATCGTTCGTTTTCCGGAGAAAACAATGCACACAAATCCGTGACTTCAAGAAGAGCGAAATCTGTGTTGCTTTTCTTGTGTGTGTTTTCCACGCTCTTTGGTTTTCCGGCGTGCATGTTTTTCTCGTACAATATAAGACAGCCGATATGTTGCGGCTGCACGGAGATCGTCTGAGACACTGGGCAAGAAAGAGTCGCAGCCACACGGAAGAATTTTTTGCTCTTGTTTTTGTTCAGGTTGTGGTCAGGCTTGATTGGACCTCTGACCAAGCGCAAACAACTACACCGGTGTTAGTAGGTGGGATCATATGCATATGTCCAACGGTCGATTTCTGTATCGTCCTGGTGTGGATCATCTCGTTCAACAGGTTCGGTTCCTTTTGTCGCACACGCGCGGAGCCGTTCCTGGGTGAAATCGAAACCAGAAAATCGATTTGCCGCGCGCGCACACACACCGGGAACTGTTTTCAAGCTGGGTCGTTTTGAGCGGCCTGTTCGAGTTGCACGCGCAGGAATCTGGTCGGAACGACAATAACTTGTTGCAAGGAGTATGTTGTGTGGGCAAGACATAATCGTGTAGCCATGTGCACGGCGAGTTCTGGAGCGTACATTTCTCGCAAACCGACGACCACTGCATGTGACGCACACGCGCATGCCGCTCTTGCGCTACGTGGCGCATGATTGTGCCTCTCCCGCGTCAATGCTTCCGTTCTCACGGCCTAAGCAGCGGTATTAAAAACTCACGATGTACAGCAGCAGCGGTACCCCTTGACTTGGACGTGCTTTCGATCGAACAGAACAAAGCTTCAAATATTTTCACAATATGCGCACACGCGCTAAAAAAGCGGAAACCAAACCACGACTAGGCAGTGCTGACTAGTCCAATGTTTCGACGCACCATCGGCTTCGACAACCGCACCCTTAGGGCCGAGAAACACGCATGTCAAGGAGCAAATGTCACAAAACCTCTTGCGGCTCGACGTGGGAAGCTCTAGGTTATAGATGGATGTTCTCACCCTTACGCGTACGGATGCATTGGGCGGACACACAGCGTGAGCCCTAGTCAGCCGTGACGGTACGTACACAAGCGTCAACCGATGAAACCACTCATTATCCCGGACAGGATTCCTTTTCGGCAGTCAAGCACAAGGGTAAGGGCGACATTAATTATCCGCGAAGCGCGTATCGTCTCGACGCGATAGATATTGTACAACGCCTGCCATTACAAGAATCGTAGTCCTCCGTAGGACCGCCTACGCGGGGAAATAAGAATACATCTATGAAAAAGAGGGACAGGTACGTGTACCCTAACCCCCGAAATTCCAACGATATCATACTGCTGTATTCGGTGAGTTTGCTCAACAAAAACCTGCGTAGGCTGCTGCCTCCCTGCTGAACTCCCAAGCGCACCACAAAATGGATAGACTACTTATCCGGTTCTCGAACAACAATTTATTCGCGCGCGCGAACGTCCGAAAAAGAAAAACAAAAGACAAATCTGTTTCCTGCCAACAGCCCGTTCTTTCGAGTCGGCACCCCCCGACAAAACGCAGACAACCTCGTGGCAACGCCACTTGCAACGGGGTGTTGGTGCTCAAATGCTTCCTTTCTGCCTTCTATCAACGTTGCCATCAAGATATACTCGACATGGTCCCGCCGCCTCTCTTCAAGTGTGGAATGGAATTTTTACTTGCGCCTAATAATGGTTGACAAAAACCCTAGGCGCTAATTTTTCGTACTCGTTAAAGCCGTACGAGAGTAAAAGCAGGATCAAGGCACCCCACCCAAGCCGAAGCTGAAAGTAGCAGCCGCAAAACTCGCACCCCACCACGGGATTTTTCCTTCCAGCCAACGGCTCACCGAAATCGGGCATGAGCGAGTGTGTGTTTGCCTGTCAACTTTGCAATGATTTTCACAACAATTCGTGCATACAGATGTGCACAACGGACGAGACTGCTGTGCCAACTGTACGCCCAGTCACGGACACACAGCGACTCTGCCACACACGCAGGTCTATGGGGGACCGAAAAACCGCCAAAGATTCTGGGACGTCATCCTGGACGAACGAACAGGCCCCACCAGCACGTGTTCCGACTGGCGGTACGTGCGCGCGCCACCACACTGAACGTCCGGTTCCGGGAAAGTCCGCGTAGCTAGCTGCCGCCGCTGTGGGATCTGTCGTGTGCGACAATGTCCCAAAAGAGCGCGGAAGACGTTGTCAGCGGCATGCATACCAGGCACGGACAAGCCGAGGTCGATATGGTCGAAAACACAAAAACTAGACACCTGGAGCGGCGAGGTTTATTTAGTGCCTGCCTCGCGCGTGATTACCCGGGTGTGGCATGAGGGAAACAATCGCCGTGAGTCACACGCCACAAAATGGCAAAAAAAACGGAGTTTTCGCACGCGTTCGTCCAGAATTATAAGGAACACCAGCTAAAGCCCCGATGTAGCTGGTCGAGGTCATCTTGGGGCGAAAAAAACGCAGGGCACCGTCTTACAATGTTCGGGTCCTTGCATTGATGCCGGCTGTTGCACAACCGTTGCCTTTTGCAGATATGGACCCGACCAACCAAAGCGACATTTGCCCGCACTTGACAGGGTATCGGACTCAAGATCAAAGCTACAGCTGTTCTTCGATTCCTTGATTTTGCGATCATGAAACAACAAACAGCATCTACGGCAGTGCTTCATGCATAAACCTCCTGAAACCGCAAAGGGGAACACTCTGCATGACTTCCGCATCGGCCATCCTCACCTGACTTATTGGAGCAACAGGATGGATCTTGGCCTCTACCGTTCGGGAAAATTCTCCCCTCCGATCATGTGGCACGAGTGGGGTGTCTTGCATCACAGGGTGTGCTCGTTAGCCGCGATAGCTTTGAGAAGCTGCTTTGGGACCGATGTCGCCGACTTCATCGCGACAAACTTTCTTTGTCCTGGGGGGTGACGACCGACCGGTTCTGATCGCAAGAGCAAGGCAGAGACCGAAAAGAACAACGATAGAAGGATGATTGAAAAAAGGACACCTGAGTTCATGTGTTCAACTCTTCGTGTAGTGCTCAAGTGACTCGTGTCTCAAGCAGTGGTCTGCGGAATGCCAGAGCATGTAACAGCATATTGTAGAGTTAAAAGTCGTCACAGCAATCGTCTACACAGACAAATCGCACATGTGCGAGGCAGCACCACTCCAAACCAGGCTGCCGCTTCAACAAAACCCGGAAACCGTGGGTGTGGCCGATGGGAGGGGCGTGGGGGCTGCAGCTCTGGATGCGGTCTATTCTAAGAGCAGCCAACTTCTTGAGAAAAATGTGTACTTGTGAGAACATGCACATGCATACTACGCAAGATAACAACCTACAACGGATACCGCACTCCCCACCACAGAATACCACGCCTCGCGATAGTCTTTTTAGGCTTACAATGAACCGAACACGTAGTATACCCTCAGCCGATCCGGCCATGGCGTGGCATATTTACGATGCACTTATACATACGTACAGCAGTACACAGAACAACAGCAGTATGATAGGCGGTGGGACGTGTTTGAGAAGATGTGCGGTTGGATGGAGAGCTCAGGTTTGATCCTTGTCTAAGCACAGATGGCCATTTTGGCCGTCATACGGCACTTCCTGTTTACTGGATTGTGTTCCTCATCGCTCGTCTTTCCTGTGTTAAAAATGCACATCGCACTCCATGAAAATCGCTTGGCGAAAATGACAATGCGAGAAGACATTCACCCCCCCCCCCCGGCGCGATGGAAATCTACTGCTGTAGACTAACACCCGGCCGGCTTGTGTCTACAAAAGCGCTAAAAACAATCAATGAGGCGAGTGGCAAAAAGTAGTTGCAAAGATGTAGCACTCTGCTTCGCAAGCGAAGAAGGCTAGCTCGGCTCGATGAGCTACACCACTGCTGCGCTGCGCGCAACGCAGGGCCGGTGCAGAGGGGGAACGAACGGTCAACCGTAGCCACGGAAAAAAGGGAGTTGTCCAGAACATACGAGGCGAGAAAAACATGTGCACGAGAGAGTCACGGTGCGTCTCAGCAAACAAGGCGTTGGAATCGCCGATATCAGCAGAGAGCCTCCCCAAGAGAAGGCTTTTGATTCAGTACCCAGTGCTATAGGCATCACGGACGCCCGCGCTCTCGAAGTGTGTGCAAGTTGCACTCGGCTAAATGTTATCACTTGGACTGAAATCCCGTCCGCATTTAGAGAGCAGCTCACCTCTTCACCAGGAAGACGAGCTAAGTGGTCAACACCGGGAGGAACAATGACACGTGGAATTTGTAGATGTGGGCAGAGGTACCACAGCATCGATGAAGTGATAGTCATCGCTTCAGAGTCGTTGATGGAGTGAGGGGAGCACACGAGCACCCCACAGCGGACTCTAGGGTCCCCGCGACTAGGGACGGATAGGGGTGCGGTTTCCACATCAATGGTCAGGCATCATGCCGTTTCATTCGTCGCTAACTTCGACGAAAGTTTCCGTTCTTCGACGCCACAACGCCACAACCCATCGCAATCAATGGCTTGGCTCGTAGTATTAGCTAGCATGTAGGCTCTCTCCAGTTTATTCAAGGATTTACTTGTGCACAGCTGGATGTCGCGGAAGAACCCACGCGACCGTGGAGGCGCCACCAGCGCAAGGAAGAAGAGGTACGAAACACGGGTGGTTTCGGCGTGTACGTACTGTAGACTTCGTACAGGAGCAATGGTTACCCTGTACTGTAGAAGAGGACAGTTAGTGCCGAGACCAACTCGAAACACAAGCACAACAAGAAACCCAAGAAACCAGGCTCAGTTCTTGAAAAATAAGAACACAAAAATGGCCTACGCCAACTCTACATGGAGGAACAACGCGTGTGGCAATAATAGCCTGACATTGCTCAACCTGTGAGACCAAACGGTTTGGAGGCGGTGTTCTGATGAGTGGGCCGGCAACACTGCTGTAGACTATTTAGGGAATCCTTACAATCCATACGTTCGCTGGAGAGAAGAAGAGATCTGTCTCGCCCTTCATCAGCGAACCATATCAGAACTGATGTCAATATGGCAGGTTCTCTAGGCTGTGTGACACCGGGGGTGGGTGCCTTTCGCCGTTGTGTCGAGGCCCCCCTTCTTCGCATTTGTTAGCTTAGACAGCGTTTCTGAATAGTACTCATCGATAGGCGTAAAAAACGCACGTATTTATAGGACCATTGTTGGAGCTGCTCGTCAGAAGATTATATGCCGGCCTGTTCCTCCTGTGTCAAATGGCACATATAGACTAGACTTCTCAATGATCCATCTGAGTAGGGGCCCATGTCCATGCCATGTCCAGTAGGGGACCACGTAGATGAGAAGCAAGACCCGACGAGTGTTCGCGCCGTTGTATGGATGCAAAGTGTACTACACAATGACTTACGGTACCCGTTCGCAATACATGCACATATATTTTTCTTCGTGCAGTTCGTCGTGGTCTTCCGATGAATCTGGAATTATTGGCAACAACGCGCGGCGTCGGCAACGAGGACGACCAAGCACCAAGGAAGGGACACAAACACGCAGCAGGCCCTATTCGTCGCCTTCTTTGCCCAGCAACGATAGTGGTAGCAGTATCGAGACCGATATAGACAGGTGCAGCAAACAAGTTCGGCACCAGCGCGATGGAAACACCGCCGCCGGACATTCGACCCATGCCGGGGAAATCAGGGTGGTCAAATCCCTCCAGCGCAAACTCCTTTCTGACAGCGGGGCGCGTCTGAGCAGAATTGAGCGGCGGCTTTTGCGTACCGACCGTAAAAGAAACGGCGTTGTCAGCATCTCCGCTTTCGAGGCTGCTCTCGCCGCAGAAAAAAATACTGATGACAGGTCCGTCATCAGGCGTGAGGAAGTGCGCTGGCTCACACGCAAGTTGACGGGAAGGAACGGCAAGAGCGTGGCCATCTTGAGGATGAGAGCTCTGCTCGAGGAGGAGACGGGATGGAAGCGACTGTCTGGCAGAAAAGGGCAGGTGGATCGACATCAATATCATCGCCATCGTTATCACGACACTTCGCAGTGCGGGCGAAGCTCACGAGGAAGCGAGAGGAGACGTCAAGGCAACGGGTCCACTGCCGGTGATGGGGAAGAGATCGGGGGAGGAACCACGAGCGAGTCTACATGCGGACGGGGGGGCGCTTCGTTGCAACGGCGGTCGTCGCCTCTTCCTCCCGCGAGATGGGCGATTCGTCAGGGCACAGTGGGGCAATGGCTGCACGAAGTGGCTGCCCCGATGGTAAGATGAGGGACGGATCATATGCCACATGAACTCTACGTTGCTCTTGTGGGACGTTTCCCCGCTCAACACAAGGCTATCGACCTACTACATGCACGCAATACTAGAGACGGCCGGGGGAGGTTAAGAGACTGCTTGTATTCAGCAAAACTCAAAAATCCGTTGGCTACTTAGCGGGGTGATGTGAAACACGGGGACGGGAAAACTGTACCCCGCCGCCCGGAGATCATGACGCCCTAACTCTGTCCTGTTTTGGCTTCCTGGATGCCATAGGAAAGAAAGCTGTTCTTCGAGTTCATCAAGGATCTCGAAAAGTTCGAGCTTCGAAACGGGCTCGACCACTACCGCGTGCGACCAAGCCGAAATGCGAGAAGAAGAAACGGCTCCGGCGACGACGATGATGGCACAACAGTGCTGCACCTTGGCCCCATGCTAAAGGCATCAATTAAATTTTACGTTTGAACGAGTAGCGGGAAGTTCTTGAGCTTGTGTGGTGATGCGATTTCCCGTGGGCTTGTTGAAAAATATTTTGCGCTTTCCTTTCGAAACACACCGTGAAATGTACTGTAAGGTTGTCTCGCCTCCCTCCTCCCAAAACTTGGCCGAGCTGTGAAGTAGATAGAAGTGAGAGCTTTGAAGACACACGGCGGTTCCCCGTCTCTTACTCAATTCCTCTGCCGCTATTGCATCGAACCGCGTGCGGAGTTGGAGTCGCGCCGCGGTCACGCATGTCTGCGGTATGCTACACAACGCACGATGTACAACTCGGTTTTGCGCTTGTGTGTTTCACGCCTTACACTTCCGTTCACGGGTTGTTCCCCGGCAATGTTTCGTGCATGAGCATGTGTACCCGAGGACAATGCTTGTAAATCCACTGCAACTCGTTAGGGGCGCACCCTTAACCAATCTGGCCTTGGTTACAAGAAGGAAACACCGGATACTGCCATTTGGTTGGGTGGGTCTCAGAAGGGCGGAGGGGCCATACTTAAGTTCGGTCAGAGCGCCAGGAATCAACGTGACTACTTGCTTCACTCAGCTCTCATATCTTGGTCGCCAAACTCTCTCGTTGCACTTTCAGTTGTGTTGACTTCGAAGGAGCTCCATAGCTTTAGAAGCTTGGGATAGGCTCATTCCTTCGTCCTGTGGTCTCCCTGAGACTAAGCCACAGACACCGAGCAACTTAAAGGGCCTCTTGGAACTAAATAGGCAATACGCAACGTCACGGGTCAGTTTGAAATATTTGAAGTTTTCTAGAACATGGTGACACCGCCATCGATGACGTCACCGGTCGACCAGGGATTCTTAACCAATCAGAATTTTCCCTTTAAAAAAAATCGAACAATAAACACTGCTGTGGCCGCCATTTATTTTGCAACAACCAGGTTCCTCCCTCTCTACTCGGGACAGCAACGGTCGTAAAGGAACACAATTTAGCAGACCGCCGCCTTCGACCTAAGATCCATACAAGCCTTGGCCTCCTTTTCTTTATCTACAGCACACGAATTTACTCCGCAACAATCTGTACAGTCTCAAAAACTCGCATGGCTACGCGTGTGTTACACAAACCTACCGACGCGCTCTGTTCTACGCAGAGATTGGCTGCAACACGGCACCTTCGCGCTGCTGCTCAGCCTCGGTCGCATTCGACTCGGCACCGCAACCATCCGGGGTCACCCCAACAAAAACCTCACTGGGCACCGCCTCTCGAGTCCCGGCATCCTCCTGGACGGGTGCGGCAACATCATCGACGCCTTGTTCGCGCTGCTCTGCGCCTGGATCCTTAACGCCGCTGCTATCCCGCGACGTCGCCGCCCTGAAGGTTGGGAGGAAGAACGGCATGAAGTTCACGTAGGCGGCTCCGCCCAAGCGGTTGCCGGACAAGTACAAGGCGTAGCCCAAGCCCGACGTCTTCTCAGCCGCCCAGCTACGCAACGCAACAACCCACAGCGCTTCTTGGTTCTCGGCTCTCCCGTTCTCTCGGTCGAGACCACTGGCATCCGACCTGCACGCCAGTGAGACAAGACACCCGAACGGGTGAAATTGATCAAAAACTGTCTGGAAGTGCCACAACTACTGAGCGAGTAGTAAGCACATGGCATCGTCAACGCCCTCTCAACTCCCACCTCGTCATGCTTGCGTCGAGAAATTAAAAGCTGCAGCTGTGAACAGACGGCCCACACCTCGCACTCAAAGAAGTGGCCCAGCTACAATATGATGCCAGTAGGTGCCAGTCCCTTGAACCGGCATTATAGTGGGCAACCGGCTCTATTCAGAGTACGAATCAACCGGCATTCATACCGGGACCACTGCTGAACAACATCATTCCTCACGCTTCTCACACGGAAACGGGTTAACCAGCATCCATGGGGCCGCGCACCTTTGCATCAGAGCCAAGCTCGACAGCAGCAACGTCATCATCGATTGATACAGCGTCCACAAAACCCGAACCCCGGGGAGAAGGAAGAAGTATGGAGACAACCACCACTGGAACCCGTATGTCGACGAATAGCGCACCCCGATGCTGACCCCCAGTCTCTGGACGGCTTCCTTGCGGCGGCGAACCTGCGGCATGTTTGAAGCATTCACGCGCATCACAGACACGTACCAGGTGCTATGGTTCAATCGTGTTCGTGCTGTGGAGGCGACGGCTGTGCCGGAGGTTTCCAAAAACATGGGATCGCCAAGCAACGACAAGCGTGCGCAAGCAACAACGCCGGCGCGGAACAAACAGGATGCGATTGTGGTGCACTCTCCCTGTACCGCGGATACGGCAAGCAGCCGCCCCCCACCTGTATCGCTTCCTTCGACGGGACCACAATCTTCCTCGCCGCGGTGGTGGCCAGCTCTTGCAGCAGCTCCGCCGGATATGACATCGCCTGTGACACCTGCACCGCGGGCGGCCACAGCACGAAGAGCGAGAGCGCTACCGACGGGAGCGCCTCCCTGCTCTCCCACGACCGAAAGTGCAGGGTCACGGGCAGGCGGACCCCCACGCCGAGGTCGGGCCGCAGGAGGAGGCCCCTGAACACCGGCTTGACGAAGCCGATCCCGAAGCCTCGAAAGGTAAACTCCTCGGCCCACCAGCCCTTGCACGCCGTAAGGGCGTTCCCGAGCTCGGGAAGCTTGAGAGGCTTCCGAGCCCTGTACGAGCCGCGTTCGTAGATGTCTGGCGCGGGGAACAGGTCCACATCCTCTCTCCCCAGATCGAAACGGAAGTCTTCCGCGCCAAACTCGTACGTGCCGGCTGGAAACGCTATTCCTGTTGTGTCTGGTGGGCTCTCGAGCTGAAGGCCACCAACCTCATTTAAATCCTGGAATTAGTTTTGTCAGAAAAAGGGTTCACGAACAACGAGGTGAGATGCAGCACGCCGAACCTGTGTCAATGATCCTGGCGGGAGCGACACAAGCGCCGGCTCTTCAGCCAGGCAGACTCGATGCAAATTTTAACTCTTGCTCGCCCACCCCATTCGGTTGTGTCATGGCACTTGGAGGCCCTACGCAAAGAGGCCGGAAAAGCTCTCCACGTGAATTCGCTGCGAAAGCCATAAGCAACAAAGCGCCGTTGTTTATGGCACGCACGCATTCCTGGATGTTTCGAGTTACAACTGCCATCTTGCCTCCTGCTGCTGCTCCCGCTGAGGCCGCACGCACTGCATCGCCCGTACCCATCGCCGCCGCCGGAATCGATCGGCCAGTCTCCTTCCTCTGGGCACTGCCAAAACAGTTTTCCAAAAACAGAGCAGGAAGACGAATAAGCTCTAGCCATGTCAATCCAACCAAATGTCGCACACAACAGTATGCCGAATATATTTCACGAAAACACAACTACGCACAAGCTTGGACGTCTCACTCGAGGCCGTTAAGGTTCGGGGAGATAGCACACCTGTGCGGTCGCTTTTATTGTTTGCCTTTCTCGTTATTCTTGAAACACATTGGTGTTTTCTCCGGCCCGTGCGAAACGTCAATTTCTTGACGTTCTACAGCACAAGGGTGCGTTCTCTCGCGCGCGACAAACGTTGATCGAAATCACGGCGGCTTGTACTGCTGCCGCTGTGCACGGACTACCCGCCCGTCTCACGTAATTTGACGCGAGAACCGCCGGTGCAGCAACGCAGGCAAACGACACAAAAGAACGTTGTTCGCGTTTGGGAGCTCAACGAAACGTCCTAGGGCCACTCACGTCGGTAGCAGGCAATATGATTACCACAAAAAAGGGGGGGTTGAGAGGAGAATAAGCGCAGCCTCACCCGACGAAAGCTTTGTAGATCACCTACATAGGCTGCCGTTCTTCCCGACCCGTGTGAAACCATCAACCCTTTTCTCTACGGGTGGGTACGAGGTACATGTGACTACAGCGTGTTCTACAGAACCGGCCCGCACTTAAGAACCTCTTATTTGGAGCGAGGCTCGCTTCTTGTTGGCTGCCCCAAGCAGAGCACAAGTTCTTATTTGCTAAGTTCTTATTTCCTCGTCCAGTTCTCCAGAAAAGGTGTGTTCTTGTTCTTTTGTCATCATCGAATGCTCAATTGGTGCACTACTCTCAACTGCACTCGACCCAGAGTTTCATGCCGCAAACACCCCCCTCATATGGGGTAACTGTCAACCGTCTTGGTCCACAAGAGTGACGTTGGGGGTGCGTACCCTTCCCGCCCTACTGACGCTCTCAAGCAAAACCCACGAGCCTATCGCCACGTCCGGATCTCCGCTGTACTTGTCCAAGGGCAGCTTCATCTTGCGCGTACTGTGGTCTACCTCCAGCTGCACACAGTAGTCGTACAGGTGGCGCTGCGGAGATTGCTGAATGATCAACCCACCGAACCACCCCATGCCCAGCCTAACAAGCACTCCACGTTGCAAAAGCAATCTGTCAAGAGCAGCGGGGGTAGATTCTTGGAGGCGAAAGCCCGCCGGGATCTCCATTCCCTGCGTCTCGTCCTCCGGGTCGTCTGGGTCCATGCTGTCGTCCTCGTCCAAAAGAGCTAGCTCGTCGGTCTGGGATTGAGACATGTCTGCGACAAAGGGTACCGTGAAACACGAGAAGGAACGTACGGGTGTCATCGCCGTTACTCAACTGAAGCACACCATGTGTTCGTAGACGTGACGCGGAAACAGAATATCAGCAATATCCCAAACAGCACAAGGAAAAATGAACAAAAAGGACAATCAACAACGGTAAAGATGAATAAGCTGTAGTCTATGTAGTGCCAATCAAACTCACCGTCGTCGTCTTCATCGCTGTATCCAGCGTCCTCCACGCCCTCCCCGTTGTTGGCACCGTTGCGCTCATCTCCGACGACCGGCTCGCGCCCTCCGGCGCCCTCCTCCTCCCGCCCCTCGGGCCCATCGCTGACGTCCTCCGAACCTCCTTCGTTCTCGCTGGAGTCTTCATCGTTTGCGAAGGTGTACGGCTGGTCCAAACCCTCCAAGGTGATTCGATCATCGCCTGAGCCGTCCACGGTCATCGCCATCCCGCACTTTTCGAAAAGGCGGTGTCGGTACCCCTGATTGCTGTTGAGTTTTGCCATGGCCGCTCCCGTCCATTGAGTGATCAGTACGCGCCGGTCAGAAGCTGTCAGCGACGCGGTTTCCCACCTCTCGATGTTGTCCGACTGATCGAGCCACTTGTCCATCTCTTTACCGCCTTCACATGTGCCTTGATCGTCTCGAAGTGACGGTCAAGAATCAGTCCTCGTTGTTTCATCTCCGAGAGTTTGCCAAGATCCTTCAACAACCCGTGGGATAAGGGGTTGGACAGGGACATGATCCCCCTGCACGGCAGGTAACTCGTGGCACGCTGCACACGCTGCTTCGAGTAAATTGAAACATCAACAAAAAAACCCTCCGCGCTGGCACAGGGGCACGATGTATACAGCATATGTACCCCCTGATTATAACCCTTAAAAAAATCTAGAAAGGGAAGTCTAGGTAGGTACCGACTACCCAAAAACCTGGGAACGCCCCCCCCCCCACCTCCTCCTCCTGCTGTGTATGTTCTTCTCTCGCCACCGCGTCACGTCATATATGTTCTTATCTGTAGAACCAGTCGTACACCTCACTGGGGGTTCTTATTCTTAACAGCAGGTCCGATCTGAGCACGTGTTCTGGCAAGTTCTTACAAATTGGATTTTTTGAGGCTCAAATTCTTAACGTCCATATTCTTAAGTGCGGGCCGGTTCTGTATTGTCGTTTAGGCGTATGATTCGTCACTGCCGCGCTGTTATTAGACACGATATTGTCCTTGCGCGTCCTTTCAAAGCTCGGAGGTTGGGGTACCAACATGAGAGCGGATTACATACGCAGGTCACTGCTCCTGTGCACGTCCCACTCATTCCTCACCGCGAAATGAGTTAAACTTCATCAGGCTCTTGGAATATTCCCAGCCCGCCTCATCCCTCCCTCCCGACCCATCGATTTTCCATTCGCTAGCCCAGGTCCATTCATCAGGGCAGAGAACTTGTCTTGGTGGAAGAGCTGAAGAACCGTCCTGCTCACGAATGCAGGGCAACAAAGAGTTAGTTGCAGTCATCGGACAAAACCGCATATATATGCTTTGCATGTTGGACAAAAACACATGCACGCAGCAGCTCTATTGAACAGCAAACACACGCGACACGTCCACCTGCGTACATCCCAGCCTGGTCTGGTCCGAGACTTTTGTTTTGCCTGGTAGCTTGATTTTTGTATAATAGTTGGGGCATCCAAGCTTGTTGAGAGCAGACGGGAGGGGAATAAATCAATATCCCTTCGATGCCATTGTTACATTTTCTAAGAAGCGGGTAGCCCAGCCAAGAGGTTGCGCTCGAGAGTTCGAAGATACACAGAATGTTACGGTTGATGACAGCATGATTTTTCAAGTCCCTTCATTTGCAGCATTATGGATACTACGTGTAGGTCAGCAGCACGCCATGTGATATCCCATGGATACAAGCAAAGGCGGGAGAGAGGGAGAGAAGTAGATGGGCGTGGGAGGAGGAGAGAACACGAGAACGGGAGAGATCTTGCGTGGGACCTACAAAGTTGAACGTTGAAACGTCATCGAATTTGCCCGATATAAGAACAAACGGCGAGAACATGGCATTATTTAATTTACAGTGAAACCACACAACAAGCTCGCCAGCACTGAATAAAACGCCTCCCACGTGTGCACCTTGTACGTCCAGCCCGTCCTCGACTGTCGCCATCTCCTCCCAAGCCCGCCCGACTCCACCTCGTAGACCTCAACCTTGTGCAACAAGAGCTTCTTCGGTGGCTCGCGAATCTCCTTGCCATCTTGTCTTGCCACGTCGAACTCAAGATCTGCGAAGAACGGATCGGGACCTGTATTCACGTCGGCTTCCGCTTCGAACCTGCTTCTCCTGTCGGCTGCAACTGCTCGGGAAGATGCCAACATGACGGGCGCAGCTTCTTCTTCTTCGAACGCTGGCGTGCGACCTGCAGCTGCTGCTGATGCTGCTGTGTATCCATCGTTGCTCAGTGCTGTCCTGAACTCGTTGCCTCCGACGGCATGGACTAGTATTGCGACAAGCGCAGAGCGAAAAAGCAGCGCCTTGCACGCCGTCATGGAGGACGCGTTCTCGATCCCTGAGAGGGGACAGCGAACAAGTCTCCGCAGTCTAGCACAGCGCAGATGAGTGTGTGCCGTGACTTGCCAGCCAATGTGGCAATTCAAGGGGGCAACGCAGTATCGTCTTTCCCGTGCCCCCCCCCTCTCGTCTCCTGTGTTGTTGTGAGTGAGTGCTTGATCTGGTCGCTCTAGTCTCTCTCTGAGCTGTTGGTGTGTTTCCTCAGTGATTCTTGTGCCTGCTGTGTCTTTCCAGCAGAGCCCGATGCTCGATGGTGCGCTGGTCTCGATAAGAGGTATCCAACGGTTGCCGTGAACGGCAAACTACAGGTTGTGTGGGAACAGTAGTGCAACATCCGCAAGGAGAGTCAAAATCGCCAGGGCCAGCAGGCGGTGATCCAGGGCAACAACAAGCGTTTGGTTCGTGGCAGCAGGAATCGCGGGTGGGGCAAGGCCATGTCAAACTTACTGGTCCCTCCGGAGCTAAAGGTACGGGGCGCCTTTGACAGATGCACAGCAGAGATAGGGTCCCACTACGAGGACGTTTTGTCTATCCCTCTGTTGCCGTTCACGCCCACTGGATCATACCCCACGATATGTCGGTTGGGTTCGTTCCTCGGCGTTGTCCCAATACAGGAGGACGAGGGGAAATATGCAGGTATCGTAAATACGCAACAAACTTGTTGTGCTGCTATGGTGGCTTCGAGACGTTCAGAACCGTAGGCTCTCGGAAGGTGCCCTGCGTCTCTAAAGCCTGCTGTTGTCGGCACAGGACCATGTTTGCGCGCGGCACTCTCCGGTTGCTGTACAGCAGGAAAACACACACACACATCATTTTTGAAATCACACACGGAGGGAAAAAAAACGCCGGGGCGGAACACGTACACAGGATCTGCCGCCTCGAAACGCGCTGGGTGTGGTCAGTGCACGGCGCAGGCTGATGGCCGTCTTTTCGTCTGGTCACGGCCAACAACAGTACAGCAGTAGTACTGAGTACATGGCGAAACCACATCTGTTTACGTGGAGCCTAGTCGTACTCCTCATGATAGCCAAAAACACCTCCGCTACAAGTACATTATTAGTAGCAGCAGCAGCAGCAGCAGCGACTGGCAACTATTGCAACGCACAGGGTATTTCCAGACACAACTTGGACACACAGAGAGCTTCCGTGTTCCTCAACCAACCAACGGGGGGGTATTATCGATTCGCAGCGCTGTTTGGTTGACAGATGCCTCTCAAGCAGTCGCCCAAATGGACGTTGGAGGTTAGTTGCGCGTGCGAAGCGAGCCAGCGGCGCGATCCTTGTCCTTTTGTCCTCTCTCTCTGTTGACGTCATGTGCCTGCTTGATTGAATTTCAACATGTAGAATGCACGACGGGTTCAAGCTCTGGTTGTGCAGTACATTTTGTCCCCCCCTTGATTCCCCCGCCCGTGGAGACACACGGGTGCAACCTAAACTCGCCAACACACAAGCAATTTTTGTTGTACCCTACGCGTTTCTACCTGCCTCCCCTAATTTTCGTGCTGCAGGAAGGCAGGTCCAGCTACATAGCTACACAGACACCGCTTTCGTCGATGGAGACATTCAACCACGTACGTACACCCCAACAACAGCCCCCTCCTGTGCGTGACCAATGAATAAATGACCTTCACAGTCCCTTCATGAGGGGTACCTGGCGGAGGGAGTGCCCGGGTGGGGGAGCGCCTTCCAGTACAGGTCTGTGTGCAGCACGGATCCGGGCCGCATCCTGAACTTCCTTAGGAGCAGGGCGCAGGAGGAAGCGCAGCAGGCGCTGCTGACAGTGCAGCAGTACGCCGAGGTGTGTGTGTGTTTTTATTATTAGCATCGACCGCGCTAACCGGCTGACCAATGAAAAGACGTCAGCCTTAGTGCGGTTGAAAACACAAAACACCTCTAAATGTGTGTGTGTGGCTGTTTGGACCGACCGACGTGATGTGGTGTCCGAGGAGGTATCTTTCATTTCCCCTCTCATTCTCCCTCCCTCTCTCTCTCTCTGTCGACGATGGGCTACGTCGTTTTGTTTACCGTGTGTATCGCACTTCCCCTCTTGGCAATTTTGCCGTATGCACCGCAACCGTCCTTCGCTCCCCTGTTCACCATCAAAAGCTCCGATCGCACTTGTGTCATGCAAAGCCAAGCGGGACATTCAATGCAACCCCTGTTCCCCCCCGGTGTTTGCCATCGGGGTTGGGTTTTCGTCGCTTGGCAACGACGTTGTAAAACAAGCCCCCCCCCCCCCGGTGTTTGCCATCGGGGTTTGGGTTTTCGTCGCTTGGCAACGACGTTGTAAAACAAGCCCCCCACTCGGTGTTTGCCATCGGGATTGGGTTTTCGTCGCTTGGCAACGACGTTGTAAAACAAGCCAATTCACTTCGTGAACTCGGCAACCAGGTTACCGTTTTTTTTTTTTACCTCGGTTTTTTTTTTTGGCGGTAACCATAAGGGTGGTCGAGTAGATCATGTTGTGCGGGGTCGAGAAACCTCACTCCGCGCAACGGGGGATGATCGCACCACGTTGTGTTAAAATGGTCAAGCTTCCTCGAGGCAGTTACACAGTGCTTCCAACTGTCTCTGGAAGTGAAAGCACCAGAAAATAAATTAAGTCATACGTAGCTGTCATCCGTACGCAAGGAAGTAAGCACAAGATGCCGAACACCCTTAGCAGGATGCAGCTCACCCTTCATGCGACTCGCCAAATACCTCACGGCGCTTCGCGCTTGGTGATGTGAGAGCCTGGTCCGGTGAGAACCCGGCGTGCTCCGTCCCGGCTTTGTAGGGATGCGAGGTCAATGGTCAAACCACTACGGCATGCACGACTATGAGTACACC